GACACACATGTGGCCCCATGCACTGTAACCCACAGGGCCCTGCTAGTATGTGGGGATGCAACAGGCATATTGTGGTGTGTAGTTGTGTCTGGATTCCACCTGGGTGTTGACCCAAGCAGGCCCTGGGCACCCTGGCCATGCAACAACACACTACAACACGCCTGAGACATGCCAGAACACACCCAATCCATGACTGGTGACAACAGAATAGGTTGGAGACATGCCATGCTATGGCCCCACACACTTGGGATATGCTGCGACATGCCACATCATGACACTCCTGAACACACCAAGGGTCCCCCATACCCTGGACATGCAAGGGACACACCGCAACACCATGGACCTCGGAGACACTGTAGGTCTGCCCTTGATTCCTGTCAAAAATGACAGGACCCCCCCCCCCCCCCCCCCACCCCGACCCCCCCAGCCGCACTGGGAACCCCGGCGTCCGAGCCCCGCCCCCCTAGAGAACCCAGGAGTCAGAGCACCTTCCTCTCCCCGAACACGCGCGCACACGCTCCCCCGCCGCCGGCGACCGAGCCCTACACATCCAGGGAACCCAGGCGTCTGAGCATCACCGTTTCCCACTACAGGACACAGGCATCCGAGACCCGCCCCCACAGGGAACCCAGGCGTCGGAGCATCCTCCCTCACAACACGCACACACTAGAACCCAGGTGCCCGAGACCCCCACCCCATAGAGAGGCCGGGCGTCCAAGACCCCCCGAGAGAACCCAGGCATCCGAGTGCGATGGGATCGGGGCGGCTCCTACCTGCGCCCGGGGCGGCGCCCCCACCAGGCCCCGCCTCGGTCGCGCCCCTCCCCCCACCCCCCAGGCACGGGCGCGCAGGTGGGGGGCCGGAGCAGCACGCCTGACAGAAAACCCAGGCGTTTTGACCCCCGTCGGGAGCCCCCGCCCCCCTGATCCTGGAATTTTCCAGCTGTGAGAATTTCCTAGGAAAGGAGCTAGACAGGGAAAGAACCCAGGCTGGCCTCAGACCGTGGAAGTGGGGGTGCCACACCCATCTTATCTATAGGGCCTGGCAGGCTCCACGGCACACACAGGGTTAACGTCAACCATCTATGACATCACCCTGTGATGTCACTACGAGCCAGGGCAGGGCCACAAGACCCCCCCCCCAACCTTGGCATCAGGCTGTCCCCCAGAATTCTCCCAGCCTGGAACTCCCAACCCAGCCCCTCCACCCAGCCCAGAGCAGGGAATGAACCAAGGCATCCAGGTGCCCAGCCCCTCTGCTCTCACCCCCAGGCCCTACTCTGCTCTCAGAGAACACAGGTGGCTGAGGGCCCAGCTTCCACTTCTACCTAGGGCAGCAGGATCCAGGACACTGTGCGGTTAATACCAGCCTGATGGGAGGTCACTGCCTGATGATATCACTCAGAGACATGGTAACAACCCTCACTTGCCCGCCCCCCCTCTGGTGCCCCTCCCATAGCCCTGGATGCCACTCACTCCAGATCCACAGCCTACCTCCCTATGGTGCCCCTTTGTCCCAAACCACAGACATGCTCTCTAGCTTGGATTCTTCTGTGCTGACCTACTTCCAGGACCAGAACTGGGAGGCTGGACACCTGGGCTGAGCCTGCAGCCTTTCCATCCCCGAAAAACAGCACGGGGAACCAGGGCTGGGGGCAGGGCTGACATTTATTGGCAGATGGGGGGAGGCATGGTCAGGCCTGCAGGCGGCTGCGTGCACTGAGGGCGAGGTAACCAGCTACGAGTCCCACGGCAGCCGCCAGCACTTCGCTGGACACCCAGGGCCCTGTCCAGGCACCCTGTGGAGACAGGAAGGGGGTTAATGAGATGGGAGGTCCCCTGCCCCAGCCCCTAGTCTAGTCCTTTTCCTCCCGGCCAGGAAACCAGGAGATGAAGAGTTAATGAGATAGAGGAGATGCAAATTTAATGAGATGGGGAAGCATCATATTAATACGATGCAAGCCCCACTCCAGCCCTACTGCCTTGCCAGGACTGTGGGAGGTGAAGGGTTAATGAGATGGAGCTATGTGGCATAATAATGATGATAATATAAGATGAGATAAGGATTACCCCAGCACCCTCATCCCACTCCCCAAATCCCCCCAGCCAAGTTCACTGAACCGGTCCCCCATTGCGGGCTGATGTGCATGAGTTAGAGACACAGGGTTAATGAGATGCAAAGCCTCTACCCCAGGCCCCACCCCAGCACAGCTCATGAAAGCCCCCACCCCCATATAGAAGGGACAGGGGTGAGGAAGCCCTGGTCCCGCCCCTACCCAATCTCCTCCAGCACAGCCCCCCACAGTGCAACTAGGCCTGTGGCAGAGGGGCAGATAATGATATGCAAACCCCTGGCCCTGCCCCATATCCCCCATAGGCCCAGCTGAGCTGGGAGAAATGAGGGGTTAATGGGGAGAAGCAGCCCCCCCATATGACTCCCTTGGAGTCATCCCCAGAGGGCCAGCCTGACCCACTGGGCCCTAGGACCCACACATATCCCCAAGCTCCACCCCAGCCTAGCCAAAACTCCATCCCTCACCTGGGCCCACTCCTGTTTCTGAGGCCCCACCCCCAGTCAAGAGGTCCCACCCACAGTCAAGAGGTCCCACAATGGCCACTCCCCTGCCCAAACCCTGCCCCAGACTCCACCCACTTTCTCCAGGCCCTGCCCCCTAGGCCAGACCTGACCCCTGGACTCATAGCTGGGCCCCAATGATTTAATAACACCCTCAGGCCCTGGCCCTCCCTGGTGGTCCTGCCCACCCCAAGGCCCCCAACCCTCACCCGATGCTCCACATTGACTGTGAAGAGAGGCTGGATCTTAGACACATCCTCATTGTTGCGCTGGGCCTGGGTGGGAAGGAATAGACCATTAGGCCTCACCCCCAAGCCCCTGCCCACACCCCCAGCTCCACTCCCAAGCTGCCAAGGAGGGCTGTGGTGATGAGAAGGTTGTGGGACCACCCCTGCCCCTTCCACATAACAGGAGGGAACCCAGGCACCCTGACTCCCAGCCCCACCCTCAGTCCCCGCTGTCCCAGAGAACCATGACATTTGGGCCTTGCCCACCTTGCGCAGGACACTGTATGACTCTTCGTCAAAGAACTTCACCTCATAGGTGCCTGACTGGGTAAGCTTGTGCTCTGTGCTCCAGGACACCTGGGGGTGTGGGCAATGGGACACAGGTGTCCAGGAGACCAGCTCTACCCTGTTCGCATCCCTAGCCCTCACTCCTCACCCAGAGAACCCAGGCATCCAGGCCCCCCTGCTCTGATCTCCCAACCTCCACTCCCCTCCCAGGGAACCCAGGTATGTAAGGCTCCCAAGCCCCTTGCACCCACCTTCCAGACCTCAGTATCTGCCCAGCAAATCCAGGCACCCGTGTGCCCAGTCCCCACTGTGCTCACCCTCAGGCCCTCACTGCCCCTCCCTGGGGAACCGAGGCATCTTGGCCCCACGCACCTGGTAGCGCCCAATGTCCTGGCCCCTTGTCACCGGGAACTGTTTGCCATTGACATCTGCATAGAGCGCCACATTCTGGGAGTCATAGAAGGTTATCTGAGGGGGAGCTCAAGCATCTGGGCTGCCCACCGCAGACGGAACTCAGGCATCCAGGCACTTAGCTATGCCCCCTACCCTGCTGTGTGGCAAGCCCTGCCCCCCCACAAAATAGTGACCTCCAATTTCTGTGCACCCAGCACCATGCAACCTCAAGGTCCATGGAATTGCAGTTTCTGGGCACCCAGCTCTGCCCCCTGGCCATAGAGAACCCAAGCATCCAGGCACCCAGCTTTGCCCCCATAGGGAACCCCAGCATTCAGGCACTGGGAACCCAGACATCCAGGCACCCAACTGTCCCCTGGGGCACAGGGAACCTTGGTATCCAGGGTGCAGGGGTGGGGAGAGAGCAGAGGGCACCTGAGCACCGTTCTTGCAGGCCAAAGAGATCTCAACGATAAAGACACTTTCGGCAGCGATGACAGCATCCGATGTGGTATAGTAGGATGGTACCACCTGCGGCTCTGGGCATGGCTCCCCTGGGGGGACAGGAGGGCAACCTGTGAGCTGGAATGTGGGCACAACCCAGGGGAGGTTAAGGGTGGTGGGGGGTGGAAGTCACAGATCTCCTAAAGCCAAGGGGAGTCTCTGACACCATGTGGGCTGTGCCAGGGAGCACTAGGGGCAAGACCTGAGGGAACCTGTGAGCTGGGAGAGGAGCAGGGATTGGGGGAAGGCCATGAGCTGGGGGTGAAGCCCCATGACTTATGGGGCCCAATTCTCCCAGAGCCATGGGGGAGTTGCACGTGGGGGGGGGGTCCCTGTCCCATGGCAAGGGGGTGGAACGACTGACAGGGCCCCAGAACCTCGTGGCAGGGGAGCTTCACCCCAGCTCATGACGGAACCAGGACCCTGTGGGGGGCCTGGCTCAGGGACAGAGGCTGCACCCCAGATAATACATTCCCCAATTAGTTGGAGCAGCCCCGGAGGATCTTTAACCTAGTCCTGGGCCTTGGGGGCCAAAAGCCTCTGGGGGGCTTCACCCCAGCCCGTGAGCCCCTACAGGGGTGCCGTACAGCCGCCGCGGTCCCGCTCCAGCGAGCAGCCAGGACCTTCCGGGCTTCACCTCGTGCACAGGTCCCACGGGGCCGCGGCCCGGATCACGCGAGGGAGGCGGAGACTCCGGGGTTGGAGTCAGGGACCGCCCCGCCGGGCATCCGGGACCCTCCCCCACCCCGGGCTCCGGCTGCTCTGGCCTCAAGGGCCCGGGGCCTCAAGGGCAGGGACCCAGGCGTCCGGGGCGGGGAGCCGGTACCTGCGGCCCCGCCCGGGCCCAGCAGCACTTGTGCCATCGCCAAAAGCAACGCAACCCGCCTCGGCGCCACCATCTTGGTCCGATCCAGCGAAAAGAAGAACTACGGTCGCGGGGCCCGACGGGAAAGGGATGGAGACCCGGGCGCCTCAGCCATTCAGCGGGCCGGCCGCGACGCAACCCAGCCAATCAGAGTTCGGGGAAGGAGAGGGTCACGTCGGAGTCCCTAAAACGCGGCTTTACCTGGGTCGCCCTGCGCATGTGCATTAGGAAAGCAGGGAGGGGAAAAAATGGGCGTCGGGAGTTTTCTGGTGTACAGGCTGCGCGAGAAATATCAGAGAGAGGGATTGATGGGAACGGCAACGCGTTGTTTCGTCTCATTTTGTGCGGTGTCGCGCGATAGCGTGTGGGGAACTCAAAGGTTCCGTCTTTAAATGAGGAAATGACCGCCGGCTGCGACTTGAGTAGTAAGGAGCAAGGGGGTGGAAATCACAGCTGAGCCATTGCGCCTGCGCAACAGCTTTTCCGTGATATTACCTGTCTTCTGACTACAAGAGGGAAGAAAAAAATGGCTACCGCAACTTATTTAGCTTGGGCACCCGCGATAAAAGACCCACTCCGTTCGTATGCGCATGCGGCTGTGAGTGCCCCTATAAAGCATTTTCATTCCACACCAACTGCTGAAGCTTCCTTAGCCTGAGGAAGGGTTTTTGAACCCGAAAGCTTGCTTAATAACTATTCTCCAACCATTTGGGTTGGTCTAATAAAAGATATCAAATTCACCCAAGGAACCTTGTCTGCCTATAAAGCATGTAATCTGAGCTATAAAATGGCAGCAAAAGGCGAAAGACCCCATTACTGCGCAGGCTCAGTGTCGCTCAATGAGTTCTTGCGAGAACTCTGTCACCTCACGTCTCGCGTGATTTTTTAGGGCGAAATCCCGCAAGATCTCCAAAAAGCAGCGGCTCTCGGACGGAGTTCTAATGGCAGTGGTTCTGAAGGCACCGAGGCTGGTGTGGCGTGCGGCGCTGCTGGGGGTTCGCTCGGTGAGCGGGGCGGGGTGTGATATGATGGCAAGGCCAGAGGGTCCCGGCAAGTGTGCGGGTGGGGTTGGTGTGAAGTCTTAAAGGACTCCCGGTCAGGAGCGAGGGACGAGGCTGCTGGTTGGCTGGGAGACGCTGGAATGTGCTGGATGAAAATCCCAAACCGTGTTCTGATTGGTTGGCTCGCCCCGTGGAGGCGAGATCAAGCTCTGGATGGGGATTGGATATGTATAGGATGGAGGGCGGGACAAAGGAGAAAAGTGACCCCGGTGACAAGAGAAGCTTCGGGACAGTTTTTCTCTTTGGAGAGGCGGGATGAGGCTAGAATGCCCCTTTCTGATTGGTTGCCGCAGTGAAAGAAGGCCGGGATACATAACTGTCTGGCTTGTAGGGGTGAGGGCTTGCACTTGATTGATCCCTGGAAGGCGGAACTGAGCCAACTCGCTTCTCCTGATTGGGTCCTCTTCATGTCTCTATGATGGGGGGGCTTAGCTGCAGCTGCCTTCCCAGGCCCCTCCAGGGAGACCCCTGCTTCATCCCAGAATCCTCTGGGGCGAGCATCAGGGGGCAAGGGGTGGACCCAGGACCACACTATGCTCTGACCCCTCCCCAGGCCCAGGAAAGAGCCCCGGGTCCTGGTTCCCAGTCGCCTCCCAGATCAGGGAAAGAATCCAGGCCTCTTCCCCCATTTTAACCCTTTCTTCTCTCTCTTCCCCAGGTGGTGACCAGTTGCTGTAGCATGACGGCAGTGAGTCCAGCATGATCACTGCCCACGTCCTCCATCCAAGAGCACAGGGACCCCATGCATCTGGGTGCCCAGCTTCCCCCCTGCCCCAATCCACAGCCTCCCATCCAAGAACAGGGAGAGAACCCAGGCATCTGGGTTCCCACCCTGCCTGTTTTATAGCCCCCTAGTGCCCCCCCCTCCCCAAAACTGGGAGGGAACCCAGGTGTCAGGTTCCTAACCCCAACCTGCTCCAAGCCCATGTGCCTTAACCATCCCAGACTCCCTCACATCACAAAAGCAGGAAGAGATCCCATGTGTCTGAGTTACCAAACTCTAACCAGCTGGCCCCCACTGCCCCTCAAAAGTAGGAGGGAGCCCAGGTGTGTAAGTTCCCAATCCCCAACTCTGTTCTAACCCAATTAGATTCCCCCTCTTCACTTCTACCTGAGCCTGGGGAGAGAAGCCAGGCATCTGGGCCCCAGCCCTGGCCTGCTGTGACCCACCTTCCCCTGAAATAGAGGGGGGATCCATAGAAGACTTACAAAAAAGTAGAACTCTTGATTCCAAAATGATAGCTTTTATTAGACCAACTGGGAAATTGCAAGAAAATTGTCCTTTTCTATGCTTCCAGCCCCCAAGCTCTAATCTACTTACACCCCAGGTGCCTGGCAAGGGGCAGTTGTGGAGGAGTATCTTAAGGGATAGGGGAGCTATGGGGTAGTTGGGGGAGCTGTTAGGGTTGGGGGGAGTCCCCCATAAACCCCCCTCTGCACCAAACTAACAGCATCTCTTGCTTCCTTCATCTATCCATCAGTCTAGCAGCTCCCAGCAGAAGCCCATTGTGAGTATCACTGTTATGTGGGGGGCTGGGAGCCCAGGCACCTGGGTCCCCTGTAACTGCTATGCTTCCCACAGCCTCCACCAGCCAAGTATGGGGGCCGCCACATGGTGACCATGATCCCAGGTGATGGCATCGGCCCAGAGCTCATGTTGCATGTCAAAGAGGTGTTCAGGTACTGGGCAGAGGCAAGGAGGTGGCTTTCTCTCTAAACCCTGCACTGCATCCCAGCCCCCACCCCCTCCCAGACTAGGAGGGAACCCAGGCATCCCTCTCTCCCCACAGACACGCATGTGTTCCGGTGGACTTTGAGGAGGTTCGCGTGAGCTCAGAGGCACCTGAGGATGACATGGAGAACGCCATCATGGCCATCCGCCGGAATGGCGTCGCCCTCAAAGGTATGCATTCTATATGGCTGCTATCACCACACCCCAGAGCCAGCCACAGCCAGGGGACTGCAGTCCTTCCCCCCCCCGCCAGGTGGAGCCTGGAGAGAACCCCCTGCCCCAGAGCCAGTTGCATTGTAGAGCCAGAGTGACCTACCCAAGAGTCAGCTGCACTATGGCAGCACTGTTATATCCACCACCCCACCCCACCCCACCCCAGAGCTAGCTGCATCCCATACCACTGTTATACCCAGCCCTATACCACAGCTGGTTGCATCCCCAGGTCCCTGTTATACTCAGCTCCAGTGTCGTGTCGTTCCCCCCCCCCCAAAGGCAGCTGCAGCTCTGGGAGCAGATAGAACTCAGCAGCTTCTCCCCCAGCCACATCCTAGAGCTGGAGATCCTCCCTATCCCTGAGCCAGCTGCATTTTGGATCTGTTCTACCCAGCAGCCTGTGTTCCTCAGAGGCAGCCACAGCCTGGGCCCTGTTATACTCACCCCAGAGCCAGCTGCGGCTGGGGGGCTAGAGAGACCCATATCCCCCCTAGAGCCAGATGCAGCCTGAGATCCTCATTTTACCCAGCCCCTGACATCACCCCAGAGCCAGCTGCTCTGGGTTCCTGTTTTACCTAGCTCCATATGGCCCACCTCGGAGCCAGCTGCAGCCTGGGGGCACTATATCCAGCGTCTGTCACCCACCGCTGAGCCAGCCACAGCCCAACACTGTTATAGCGAGAGCCAGCCCCACCCTAGCTGCCTCACAGCTCTGACCTGTTTCTGCCCTTGCCAGGAAACATCGAGACCAACCACTACCTGCCACCATCCCATAAATCCCGTAACCACATCATCCGGTGAGGAGGGGGAAGGGGGCCTGTGGGTCAAGAGTCAGGGTCACGACAGGCTTGTGGGGAGGCTGCAGGTCACGAGGGCACCATATGGTGCAGGGGCTGTGAGTCAGGAGTGAGGGGCAATATGAAGTGATGGGGGAGCCTGCAGGTCATGAGTGAGGGGCAGCAGGGGCTATGGGACATATCTGGAGGTCCCTGACCCCTCCCTCCCCCTGCCCCTAGCACCAGCCTGGATCTCTATGCCAATGTGATCCACTGCCAGAGCCTGCCTGGGGTGGAGACACGGCACCAAGACATTGACATTCTCATTGTGCGGGAGAACACAGAGGGCGAGTACAGCAGCCTAGAGCACGAGGTGTGCCCTGCTCCCGGCCATCTGGGCCTCCAGCTGCCTGCCTTCTCTCCTCAACGCCATGCTTCTCTGAGGACAAGGAGGAACATCCCTGCTCCTATCCCCTTCCCCTGCTTCTTACCTAGGCAGGAAAAGAACCCATGTGTCCTGACCCTGCCCCCACATTGGCACAGAGTGTGGCAGGCGGGGGAGAGAGCCTGAAGATCATCACAGAGAGAGCCTGAAGATCATCACAGCAGAACGATCGCAGCGCATTGCGGATTATGCCTTCCGCCTGGCCAACGCCACCGGGCGCCGCAAGGTCACAGCTGTGCACAAAGCCAACATCATGTGGGTGCTGCTGGTGGCAAGGCCTGAAGGGGGTGGAATCAGTCTTCCATAGCTCCATGTGGGCATTGCTGGGGCACAGGGCCTGGCCAGGCGAGTGGTGGCTGGTTGGAGGTGGGGCAGGTGAGGGGGGTTGTTCTTGGCCCCTCTAATTGCCCCTCTTTCTTGGGCAGGAAGCTGGGGGATGGGCTTTTCTTGCAGTGCTGCCGGGAGGTGGCAGCCGCTTACCCCAACATCGCCTTTGAGAGCATGATTGTGGACAACACTACCATGCAGGTGGGGACCCTGGCAGATGGGGGAGGGACCCAGGCATCTGGGAGTCTCCAGCTCCAAGAGCTAGGAGGGATCCCACACATGTGGGAAGTCACCAGGTCACCTCATGGATCTGGGTGTCCAGGAAGCCCCCAGAGCTGGGAGGGAATCCAGACATGTGGGACAAAACTCAGGCCTCCAGGCTGGGAGGGAACCCAAGTAGGGAACTTGGGCATTTGGGAAAGCCCCCAGGCCTCTGAACTGCCAGGAGAGGAGGGAACCAGGTGTCTGGGCACTAACTGGTTTATTTTCCCCCCCACTCCTGCAGCTGGTGTCCCGCCCCCAGCAGTTTGATGTCATGGTGATGCCTAATCTCTATGGCAACATTGTCAACAATGTCTGTGCTGGGCTGGTTGGCGGCCCTGGGCTGGTGCCTGGTGCCAACTATGGGCGCGATTATGCTGTGTTTGAGACGGTATTTGGGGCTGCAGGTTGGGAGTGAGGGACACCAGGTGGGGGGGGCCACAAGCTGGGATGACACTCCAAGGGCTGTTCTGGGTGACTCATCCTGCCCCTCCCCCCTTTTTCCCCCTGCACCAGGCCACCCGCAACACAGGCAAGAGCATTGCTCACAAGAATGTTGCCAACCCTACAGCCACACTCCTGGCCAGCTGCATGATGCTCGACCACCTCAAGTGAGTCTGTCGTTAGCCACCCTCCCCCTCCTATCCTTACAGTGGGTGGGGGGTGTATTAGCATGGGTGTGGCTTAAGTAGGCTGCACCCTCTGGCTCACTGAGTGACCTTCCCCAGCCCAGTATGGTCAGCTTGCAGTAGACAGGACTTGACTGACATTTGCTGGGCCTAAGCAGGCTCCACCCCAACGAAGTGGATGGGGCTTGAGTCACTTTGGTTCCACCCCTTTCAGTCCTTGCAGCTGGGACAACACAGCCCAGGTATCCTGTAGGTGGTTTCTGGTGGGGTGGGTGTGGCTTCTTGCTCCTCCCCCTGTAGGGGGTGGGCTGTGGACTCTAGTGCTCTGGTAACCACTACCCCCCTTGTCTCCAACTGACTGGCATTGTGAACTGACTTTGCTTTTAGCTCCACCCACTGAGGAGGGTGAAGTGGCTCCACCACCACAGACAAGATTGTGGTGTGGGTGGGGCCAGCATGTAGTGGGTGGGGCTTGCCTCACTCTGACTTTGGCCCCCCAGGCTCCATAGCTATGCCTCTGCTATCCGCCAGGCTGTCCTCGCCTCCCTGGACGATGAGAGTGTAAGTTCTGCTCCTTTCCTCCTGCTCACCAATGGTGGGGCCTTAGCTCAGGAAGTTCCAGCCAATCCCTTCCTCTCCACCAGTGGTGGTGCCCTGGGACAGGAAATCCCTCCCTACAGAGAGATACTGCTCTCTGCTGTCAACCAACAGGAAGTCTTACATCTTTGGCACTGAGGGGAGGGATGGAACCCTGTTCACCAGCTTCCTGTCCCAGGGGCTGAACAGCAAATTCTGTTCCCATTGGGGGATGGGGACTTCCTGCTTAGCAATGCCACCTCCCTGCTGCCAATCAGACAGGAAATCTGCCTTTTTGGACCGGAAGTGGGTAAGGAGGGGGTCCCACTTCTCTGAGTGATGGGCAGACAGGAAGTCTTGCCTCCAGGCTTGGCAGCCACATCCTGTGAGCGCTGGAGCCTTTTCCAGCAGGGGAAGGCCAAAGCCCAGGGGAGAAAGATGGGGGCAGAGCCTGGTCTGTGAGGTGGGTGGAGGCCCCATTTCAAGTCTGTTTCCCCCTCCAGACCCACACACCTGACATTGGGGGCCAGGGCACCACATCGGAGGCCGTGCAATCCATTTTATGCCACTTGCGGCCATGGTAAGTCCAGGTGCCTGAGTCCCCCAGGGGCTGGGAGCCCAGACTTTGGGCCCCAATGTGTGGTGGGGAGCCCAGACACCTTGGTCACTTCAGGATTTGGGGTGTCTGGGAGCCTGGACACCTGGGTCCCCCTCTTACCATCTCTTTTGTCTCTGTGTCAGATGCCTTTGTCCACTACGATGACATTATTGCTCCAGGGCCCTGCCACTGCTCCTTCCCCCACACTTAAGGGGGACCCCAGGATTGGGGGGGGGGCTGGCCACCCCCCTTCCCCCTCTCTGTCATTGCTCGTGTTTATAGTAAGTGATTGTGCAGTAAACTTGCTTCTGCCTGCTTGCATGCCTGGATTGAATTGCTGCTTGGGGGGTGGAAAAGGAAGGCCAGATGCCTGGGTTCCCTGGGCGGGGAGGGAGGGCTGGTGGATGAGAGCAGGGGTGCTTGGAGCCCAAACACCTGCGTTCTGCCCTTGAAGGATCAGGCTGAGGCTTCCATCCTGCCAAAGGTTTTTACTCCTGTGACATGCAGACATGCTTACACACACACGCGTGACAGACTACCGCCTTTCTCTCCCTCTGGGGACAGCCCAGATACCTGGGTCCCTGGTGCTTGGGACAGGGAGGAGAAATGGCCAAATGCCTGGGTTCCTTCTGTACCAATGGAAGCTAATGGCCTGAGTCTCTGAGGCAGATGGTGACTGGGGGGAGGAGGGCGATTGTCTCACTGTACCTCAGGGAACCCAGGAGTTTAAGGGCCAGGACAGTCTCGATGCCTGTGTCCTAAAGGAATGAAGGATGGGGTTGGAAGATGGTCCTTTCCTGAGTTGGATGCCAGGTTCCTGAGGCAGGAGTGGGGCACAGCCCCAGGCACCTGGGTTCCTAGGGGTGGAGCCAGCTCTGGACAGAAACAGTGAGCTGCAACTCGATCCCTGATGCCTGGATTCCCCAGGTACTAGGAGAAGACCTGGGGGGGCAAGGCACTGGGTGGTACTAGATGGGTCCTGGATGCCTTGTCTTTAGGAGCCTGGGTTCTTGCCCAGCCCTGTCTCAGTGGACCCAGGCCTCAGGGAGGGGAAAGGTACGGGGCAGCTGTGGTTGGGTTGTGGATACCTAGGTCCTCTTCTCTGCTTCTGGATGCTTAGAAGCCCTGGGCCCCTCCTCACCCTGGGCCCCTCCTCACCCAGATGCCTGGGTTCCTAGGACAGCTACACTCTACTCCAATGGCCTGGGCTCTCTTCTCTCCGCTGCCTGGGTCCATCTTGCCTGGACATCAGGGTCCTAGGCAGCTGTTAGGGGTGGAGCCAGGGGTGGGCAAGGCACTGGGCAGCAGTAGGGCGCCGGGCAGGCTCAGGGGCCAGCATGGGCAGGAGGAAGCAGGCAAAGGCAGCCGCCTGCTCCAGTGGCCACTCATACTTCTCCAGCAGGACATCACGCAGCCCCCACGGCCGCAGCCCCTGGATGTGCCGCAGTTCCCCTGGGGGCCAATGCCGGAGCTGGGGTAAGATGCCAGCCCCTCCCCTCAGACCCAAACCCCACCCACAATCAGCCCCACAAAACCCCAGGCCCAGCCCATGCTTGGTAAGCCCCACAGCAGGCCCTACCCACACCTAAAAGCCTCACCCCTAAGGGCCCAGGACCATGGGCCGTGCAATGGACTCACTTCTTTGCAGCCCCTACCTGCGTGGTTGTAGCCGTTCTCCATGGAGACCTCAGTAGCAGTGACACCATGACAGTGCAAGGCCTTGGTTTCCATGGAGACCAGCCCCAGCAGTGCTGGCAGGACGCACAACTGGGTTCAGACCTGTGCCCGGGCTGGAATCATGCAGCAGTGACAGCGTAATCCACTGCCCACATGCCTGGGCAAGGATGTGCAGGCAGTGGATTGTGGCTCTGCCCCACACAGTCACTACTGCAGGATCCCAGGGCCAGCTGCAGAGCAGCTTCCTGCCCAGCCAGCACACCCTGCCAGCACTGTTGTGGCCTGTCCCTATGGAAACCCTGGCTCCATACTGTCATGGCACCCTGCTTTTGGGGTCTCCATAGAAACTGGCTACAATGACGCAGGCATGGGCTGCTGGGAAATGGAGTTTGAACATCAGCCAGAACTGCCATGTTGCCTACCCCTGTATTAAGACCTCACACCCCAGCCACAGCCAAGAAACCCTGCCCCTCCAAGGTCCCAGGCCAGACTCACATCTCTCATGCCCTGCTCACAAGGTCCCAGCCTACAGCCCAAAACCCCACCCCTGCTCACAGCCCCAGACCCTGTCCATAAGGTGCCAAGCCCCTCCCACAGCCAAGCTCCCAGACTGCAGCTACAGCTACTAAGTTCTACCCCTTACGAAGTCCTGCCTAGAGCCCCAAACCCCACCCCCCCAACTCCAGGCTCTGCCCCATGCCCCTTCTCTACAGCCTTAGACCCTGCCCACAGGGCCAAGCCCCTCCCCCAAGGCCCCAGTCACATAGCCTCATCCCTGACCCCCCAGCCCCTGCCCCCACCCTTTGCCCGCCTCCTCACCACGGCGGGTGAAGAACTCGCGGCTGTAGCGCCCAGAGAGGGCAAAGTGGCACGGGATCTCGCCCAGCAGCTCAATCACATGGGCTATGTGATCTGGGGTCAGAGATCAAAGATCAGCTACAGCTGCCTGCTAGTTCCCTGCCTCCCTCATTTGCCCACCTGCCCAGCTAAGTGCCTGGGTCCTGCCTCTTCCTGAAACTTGGGTTCCCTGCCTCTCCTGGACACCTGTGTCCCCTGTAGCCCCCACTCTTGTCCCCCTGCCTACTTGAGTCCTGGACCTCTGGGTCCTTCCCTCTCCTAGACATCTGGGTCCCCCACCCCATCTCTTGGACACCTGAGTCCCTCATGCCCCACCCCCAAACCTGGCTGGATCCTGGCTACCTGGGGCCCCTCCCCCTCTTGAACATCTGGGTTTCCCATTGCTCCCTGCTCTTACCCCTGCTTCCTGGCTGGGTCCTAGATGCCTGGGTTCTTCCCTCTTCCAGATGCCTGGGTCCCTTGTTGCCCCCCTGTCTAATTATGTCCTGGACACCTGGATCACCCCTGCCCAAATGCCTGGGTCCCTTCTCCCGGATGTCTAGGTCCCCTGTTTTTGTCCCCCTGCTCTTATCCTTCCCTCTGCTCTTGTCCCCCTGCTCAGCAATTTCAGGGATACCTAGGTTCCCTCTCTCCCGGGTGCCTGGGTCCCCCATTGCTTCCTACAGTCCTGCTCCCCTACCCCACTTGCCTAGGTCCCTGATGTCCAGGGCCCCTCCTCCTGGACACATAGATCCCTTATTGCCCCCCGTTCCCAACTGTGTCCCAGACACCTGGATCCCCCTGATCTGCTCCCAGATGTCTTGACCCCCTCCCTCTCCTGGATGCCTGGGTCCCCCACTGCACCCTGCTCTTGTCTCCCTGCCCAGCTGGGGCCGAGATGCCTTCAGTCCCTTCTCTCCCAGGCATCTGGGCCCCGTTGCCCGCTCAGTCTTGCCCCAGCCCTCCACCCCAACTGGCTGGGTCACAAATGCTTGGGTTCCCCAATCTCCCAAACACCTGGATCCCCTACAGCCCCTCCCCAGATTCCTGGGTCCTCCCTTCCCTGGGTGCCCCACTGCCCCCATTCTTGCCCTGCTGCCTGGTTGGGTTCCGCAGCCCCCTCACCCTCATCACGGCTGTAGTCATCGCCCGAGTGCGGCTCAAAGAGATAGTCGCCTGTTGCCAACTCAAAGGCCTGGGGGAGGAAAAAGAGAGGGGTCAGTAGCCTTGGGGCAGGCTCTATGGGACCCAGGTATCTGGGGGGGGGCTCTAAGTGATGCAGGTGTCCACGGAGGAGGGTTCTGGGGGGCCTGTGAGACCCAGGTATATGCGGGGTGGAGCTTTCAATGACCCAGGCATCCAAGGGAAGGGGCTCTAGGAGACTAGCACATGGCGGGGGGAAGCGGGGGGTGCTTTAAGGGACCCAGGCATCCAGAAAGACTGTACCACACAGGCAGTGCTCCAGATGTCAGCGGGGGTGCTGTAGCCAGCGCCAATCAGGACCTCCAGGGCTCGGTACTGCCGTGTCTGGATGTCCTCCGTGAAGTGCTTGTGCTGGGGTAGGGAGGGATCTGAGGGACCGAGGCATCCAGGAGCCCCTTGCCCAGCCCAGGAGATGCCCACCCACCCCCAAGCCAGGAGAGGGGACCCAGGTGTCTGAGAAGCCCCTCCTCCTGAGGGACCTCAGTTTTGCAGGAGACTCACCTGCCTTCAAGCCAGGAAGGAACCCAGGCATCTGGGACATCCCCAGGCTGGCAGGGAACCCATGTGTCCAGGAGCGCCGCCCCCCCCCCCCAGCACAATCAGGAAGAACCCACAAGTCCAGGAGGATACCCCCACCACAAGCCAAGAGGGACCCAGGCATCTGGAGGGGGCTCACCACCCAGCAGGCATTGCCCAGGTCTGCGATCTTGACCCGCAAACGAGCTGCATTGCGGGGGTCCAGTGGGTTCACCAGCCCTGGCAGCTCCCCCCACTCTGCTAGGGGCAAGGGTCAGGGGCCAAAGGTCAGCACCCCTCAGCAGAACCATGAGAACTCCCAGGACCCCCTTATCCCTCAGCCACCTCCTAATGGCCCTTCCTAACCTACAGCTGCCCCAGCCCACACCTACACAGGATCCTCCTACCCCCTCCTCCCGTTTTCCCAGGCCTGCTCCAGCCTAGCGCTACCCCTGACCCTCTCCTGCCACCACTACAGACCCCTCAGCCCCTCACAAGCTCCCCGGTTCCCCTGAGCTCCCCAGCCCAGTCTCACCTGGAGGCAGACGCAGGCCTCCCAGCTCACGCTGCCCTGAGGCCCCTGAGAGCCCTGAGACTGAGGCTGAGGTCGGCGACAGCAGCGAGTCAGATCCAGATGGGGGACGCATGCCCCAACCTGTGGAGCCCCCAGGTGTCCCCCCTCCTGAGCCTCCTGGGTCCAGTGTGTAGCAGCCTGACGATGAAGTTCGGCTGGGGGGGGGCACTTGTGCAGGGGGGAGATATTGGGGTCAGTGTGGGGGCTGGTTCCACCACCAAGTTTCTAGCTCTGCCCCATAGCCATGCCTTAAGGCCAGTCCCACCCTGAAGCTAAGCTCACCCTCAGGGCCTCCATGCCCTGCCCTCTGGTTCCCAGCCAGTCACAGAGGTCCCTAGTCCCACTCCAAGCCCCACCCCCTGGTTCCCAGTCCTGCCCCCAAACCCCAGCTCCGCTGCCAGACCCCAATCCCTGGTGCAGAGCCATGGCCTAATTCTATTGCAGCCCCCAAGCTCCTAGTCCCACCCCCAGTAATTTAGCCGTGTCCCCAAGCTCCTATCCCCACCCCAGGCCTCACCCACACCTCATGCCCCTCCCCCACATCTAGCCATGCCCACAAACTCTTAGCCACCCACCCATGGTCTCCATGCCACAATCACTGGTTCCTAGTGACACCCACAAGATCCTATAGCACTGCCAGAAGTTCCATCTACACCCCAGGCTCCTCCCCCATGCCCAACCACACCCCCAAGCTCCTAGCCCCATGCCTAGTTCCCAGCCCCACTCTCAACTCCCATGCCCCTGGCCTTGCCCCCCAAAGCTCCACCCCCATACCCAAACACACCCACAAGCTCCTAGCCACATCCTCAAATCGTTAGCCCCACTCCCAAGCTAACCCCACCCACTTGCACCTATCCCTGCCCCCAAGATCTGCATGCCCTGCTCCCAAGATCCTAGCCCAACCTTGTAAACCCCTAGGATGCCCCAGATTCCTTGCCCCATTCCCATGTCCTTGGCTCTGCCCCCACAAGTCCCAGCCACACCCCTAAGCTCCTAGGAGGCTCTGGGGCCATGATGCCCCGCCCCACCATGGGCCCTGCCCAGACCCTAAGCTCCTCCCTCCCAGCACCTAGCCCCCCCCCAAGCCCCTCCCTTCACAACTCCATTGGCCCTAGCCCTGCCTCCTCTCACCACTGTCCGTTCCCCCCTCGTCAGAGGAGCCGCCCCAGGCTGCAGAGGCGGGGTCTGGGAAAACGGGTGTGGCCTGGCCCGGCCCCTCCACAACCAGCTTTTGTAGCTGAGCCAGGTCCCGCAGTCGCTCCGCCAGAAGCTGCCCCTGCCGCTGCCGGCGTCGGCGCTGCCGCTTCCGCCGGGCCCGTGAAGGCCTTGAGCCCTAGGGGCAGAAGGCAAGGGTCGATGGGGGAGCACTCAAGCCTCCCACAAATAAGGGGGGCAGCAGGGGTCAGAGTTGAGACTCACCAGGATCTCCTGGGGAGCCGAGCTCACTGCAGCAGGGGGAAAGGAGAGAGAACCTCAGGCTTTCAGGCTGCCCCCCTGCCCTTCCTCCCAAAAAACCCAGGTTCCTGCCCTCTGACCGTAACCCTAACCCTCTCACAGGAGCCAGGCATCTGGGACACCTTTTCCTCACCCAAGCCCCACCTAGACAACCCAGGTGCTACAGACCCAGTGCCTGCCCAAAGAACCCAGGTGTCCAGCCTCCCATCCCTTTCCCCCTCCCCAGCCTGCACTCCACTCAGAGGCATCCAGACTCCCAGCTCCCCTACTTCCCCCCCCCCTCCCTCCAGGAGAACCCCAGCATCCAGGCTCCCAGCCTCCCCTCCAAAACTGTAGAGACCCCGGCACCCAAGTGACACCTGCAGAGCCCGAGGGCGGCAGGGCGCCTTCCTGCTGCCAGCGTGTGGCCTCAGCTGCCAAATGCCAGACATAGGCATCGCCCACGCACAGCAGCACATTCTCAGGTTTGATGTCTGTGTGAATAATCTCAGCTATATAAACCAAGCCTGGTCAGGGTCCCCCAAGTCCCCCCTGGAACCCTACCACCCCCCATGTCCTCCCTTGGATCTGCTTTAGCCAGAAAGAACCCAGATGTCTGGACACCCCCACAAGATCCCCCAGCTTCCTCCAATAGCCCCAAACCCCTGCCTGGGCCTCCAAAAGTCTATTTGGCACTGAGGGAAAATAGGAAACCAATACAGGGGAACATGGACTGGGGCCCCAGACCCTTCCAGGACCCCCCAGACACTCCTATGTCTCCCATAGACATAGGACTATACAGACCAGTGAGATCCAGCCCTGGCTCCCTTTAGGCTTTGTAGCCTTGTATGTCTCACCCTCCCCCACCCCCAGAGGCAGGAGGGAAATGAAGTTCTGAGGGGTGGGGAAGATGCCTGGGTCCCCACTTGGCGCAGGATGCTCTTGACACACAGCAGCGGCAGCCCCTGGTAGTTGGACTTAATGATCCACTTGAGGAGCTGGTGGCCCAGAACCTCCAGCACCATGCACACATCTGGGGGTGGGGCAGTCAAGGAGCAACCGGATGCTTGGCTTTCCTGGGAGGAGAATGGGGGCTTGGGCTTGAGAGCAGGGCAGGCTGGGAGCTTGGACACCTGGGTTCTCTCTCTGCTCTGGTAGGGAAGTGGAGGCTGGGGGTGGGGATCAGAATGGGGGGCTGAGGGCTCCCACACCTGGGTTCAATCCTAAGTGTTGGAGAAGGTGAGGGGGTGCTGGGGGCCTGGAAACCTGAGTTCCTTGGGAGAGCAGTAAGAGGTAGTGGTTAGCACAGAGCGGGCGGGGTCCCACATGCCTGGGTTCTCTGTCTGGCGAGTGGGCAGTAGTTAGAGTACCAGGGCCTCAGAGCCTGGATGCCTGGGTTCTCTAGGAGGGGAGTGGGGGGTAGTTTTTAGAGCAGGGAGAGCTGGGCCAGAAGCTGGGACGCCTGGGTTCCCTGGCAGGATACGGACGCCGTTGACCCCTGAGATCTTGAAGTCATCAAGTAGCTGCACAATGTTGTCCCGCTTGGGGTCACTGGGGTCTGAGTCCCGCACCTGGGGATGGGAGAGGTCAAAGGTCAGTGAGGAGGGTCACAGGGGGAGGGGCCTGAAGGGGTCAGTGGGGGTCCTCACGCATTTGAGCAGCCGGATCTCGTCAGCTGCCGTCTCAGAGTACTGCCGAGCACTCTTCACCACCTTCAGCGCCACAAACCGTTTCCGCCTGTGGGGGTTGGGTGGTAAGAGGGAACCCAGGCATCTGGGTGCCCCTCCATGCCTCTCCCATTGCCTGGAGAAACCAAGTCCCATATCCTTCCAGACCCTGACCCACAGCTGTTAGGCCCCACCCCCTTTCTCAGGCCCTGCCCCTTTCACAGCCCCTGCCCGACGCTCCGCCCCATGGCCCTCCCCCTCTTCAGCCTCCATCCCCAGCCTAGAGTTCACTTCGCCCACCACCCAGGTCCCCATAGCCCCACCCGTTCTCTAGGCTCCACCCCCAGCCCTGCTCACCGGATATCCCAGCAGAGCCAGACGGTGGAGAAGTGGCCCCAGCCCAGCTTGCGCACCACGTGGTAGCGACCATGGAACAGGTCCCCTATCTGCACCGGGTAGTACCCGCCTGGGGGGCATGGGGTGGGGGGGGATGACTGACACCCCTCCCCAGCTGAGTAGTAGTACAATCTGGGCTGTATTCCACACCCCCCCACCCCAACTGCCAGCCACCGCATGTGGCTGCATCCACCTGTCCTGTGCCATGCCCCCCTTCATCCTCATAGTACAGCACCCTCCAAACCCCCCACCCCAATTCCTATGCTATAACCCCCCCACTGCTCGAAGTGGCACAGCCCAGTCTACCCCATAGGAATATTGGTATCTCCCGTCTTTCTCTGCTCTCTACAGCCCAGTGATATGAGACACCCTGGTCTTCTCTCATAAAAAAAATTGCATATTCTCTGACAAAAACCCCAAAATCCATTACTGTAATCCCCCAAAGCCCCCTGAAGCCCCCCCCCCAGCCCTGCTGGTGCTCCTCACTGCCCCCAAAGCCCCCCAATACTACCGGTGCCCCTCACTTCCCCCACAACAGCCCCCCCACCTTACTCGTCCTTCTTGCCCCGCCAGCCCTGCCGGAGGGGCCCACAAATGCCAGGGCTATGAGGCCAGGGAACCAAGTCTGCAGCTCTCTGCCCCCAACAGCAGGCAGCTGCAGCAAAAGCAGCATGGAGCCAGCTCCCCCACTGCTCTGCCTGCTTGGGTGTGGGCAGGCCTGGCTCCTGGCTCCCTCCAGCCCTGCCAGGGCCCCCAGCCATGACCTGCAACCCCCTCCCCACCCCTGTCCTGCCAGAGGGGCCCCCAATCCCCTGCAAGACCCACTTACCACGCAGGCTCTAGAAAAGTGAGACTGAGCTGAGCAGAGCAGAGCCCTGGCAGGCTGAGCACCTCAGGCCCCACCCTTCCCCCTCCCCCTCTGGGCAGGGCTGGGGGTTTCCCACCCTGTTTGCAAACAGCTTTTGCAGGCTGGAGCTCAGCCAGTCTGCAGAGCTGTTCGCAAAAGCAGGGAATCCACCAGTTCCACTGCTAAAAGGAGAAATCCATATTTTCTCTGATGAAAAGGGGAAATCTGTGGTTTTCTCCATTTTTCTGTGGGAAATGGAAAACCCAGATCCCTGTATTCCACCCATCCCCCACACATCCCAATACCCCAATTTTCCCCCTCCCACAACCATAGTGTTATCTCCCAGCTTTTCCTCTCCCTTATAACAATGGTACAGCCCACCCCATATCCTCGCCATCACAGTGGTTCCTCCCTGCCCCATATTTCTCCTCCCATCTGGGCACTTCCCACCTCAGGTCCCCTCTGGGCACAGTGATACCCCCCCCCCTTGCCCCTCCACCTCTGCAGTAGTCTGCGGGGTCCTCCTGTTCCTCATCATCTGAGCCCAGAGGCCCTGCCCCCACCAGGCATGGGAGGGGTGGGGCCCAGGGTGGAGTGGTGCCACGCGGCTTTGGTGCTGGCTCCTTTGTGCTGGGGAGGAGGGAAGGGGTGAGAGACCAGACTCTAACACAGGCACCCAGGGGTGGGGAGCAGAGCTGGATATAGCAGGGACCCATATGCACTGAGTATCAGGGAGGGGTCTGTCCATGCAGCTGAGTCTGGGGGGGCAACGCAACCAAGTATAATACAGAGACCTGGATGCTGCTGAGTCTGGGGTGTGACTGGACTGGATATAACAGGGACCTTTCAGGGAAGCTGGGTCTCGAGCTTGTCTAGGTGAGTATAACGGGTTTCTCAATGCAGCCGAGTCTGAGCATTGCTGTATACAACAAGGACCGGGATGCAGCAGAGTCTGTAGGGGGCCACAGCTGGGCTTAACAAGGGTCTCTCCATGCAGCTGATCATGGGGGTATGGCCAACTATATAACAGGGAGACCTGGAGGCAGTTGTCTGGCATGGGGGACATGGGTGGGTATAATAGGAGTCTCTTGACCCAGATAAGACCGAGCAGACCAGGGTATAACAAGGACCCCTCGCTACAGCTGTGTGTGGGGTCAGGAACAACTGGGTATAACAGGGATCTCTCAATGCAGCTGAGTCTGGGGGACACAGCCAAATAGAACACAGAACCCCAGCATGGAGTTAAGTCTGGGGTAGGTCGGGTATAATGGGGGTCTTCCGCCCACCACACCTGGGCAGAAGCAGAGTCGCAGTGCATGCTGAGATGCCCACATCCCGATATAGCCATCACCTCACCCCCCACCTGCGTCAGGGGTTAAAAATAACCCTGGGCTGGGGCAGCTGCTGCAGAAGACAGCTCAGGAATGTGTGAGAGGGGGAGGGGACCCAGGAACCCCTCAAAAGCCAAAGGGGCTACCCCCCCACACCGGGCTAGAAGGGGGTACAGGGGTCCCCCTGTTATATGCAACCTCTCCCCCACTCCCGAGCCAGCTGCCTTTCCCCATTGTGCCCCTCACTCCTGACCCACAGCCCCCCGCCCCACTCACCCTGGGAGCGCTGCCCCCTTTGCCCCCTTTTCCTTCTTGTGCCGCTTCTTCCCCTTCTTGCCCTGGGCGCTGCCTGCACCTGGGGGGGGCAGGGGCAGGTTTGGGGGGGTCCCAAGCTGGGGTGACCCCCCCCGCCCCACCTTCTGCTTCCCTCTCCCCCACGCTTACCCTTCTTGCTGCTCATGGTACCCCCCCCCACGTTCCGCTGGGGCCGTCCCGAGAGTCTACGCATGCGCCGCCCCCACCATGGGGAGGGAAACAGCGAAGACCGGCCCGGGATAGGCGGGGAGGAGGGGTACTGAAATGAGGGCGGGGTTAGGGGTGATGGGCATGGCGAACGCAGGCGGGCGGGGCTAGTCCCTCATAAAACACCCCCGCCCACGTTTCGGGTGGAGGGAGAGAGGAGGGAACAGCCCTCCCCATATTACGTGGGGGAACCCCCATAATCAAGGGCAATCTCCCCTTCAGCCCCGCCCCCCACTTCCATGATCCCCCCCACCTTTCCCTAATGGACGAGTCGCAGCCGCTGGGTCCAATCAGGAGTATTCTTTATTCTATGTCATATAGCACCCCCATCCCCGGCTGGGGGGGCTCGGCTCGCCGCCCCGGGTTAGTGTGGGGTAGACACCCCCGAGGGGGAGGGGCTGCCCGGTAACATCAGGCACTAGGGGCGGGCTCATAGGTCCGTGACCTTGTTGTCCAGCAGCGCGGCCGCCTGCTGCAGCCGCGCCCCCAGCTGCTGCTTCTGCCCCGCCGGCTCCGCCTCCAGCGCTGCCACCAGCTGTGGAGGGACAGAGGCAGGGATCAGGGCCCCGCTCTCCTCCCGGAGACCCCAGGCACCCGGGCTCCCAGCCCCGCTGCTCCACCCCTCCAAGGAACCCAGGCGTCCGGGCTCTCCCCTTTCCTGCCGCAGAGCCCAAGCGTCCAGGACTCCTAGTTTGAATGGAGAACCCAGCAGTCTGGGCCCCGGGCTCCCAAACCCCCTCCTGGAACCCAGGCGCCCGGGTACCTGGTCGTGGCACGGGCGCACGTACTCGTACAGCTCTAGCAGCGCCCCCGAGCAGTCCAGATCCACCGACAGCTGCAACGTGGGAGGAAGGAATGGAGCTCAGACCTTCGGGAGTCGCCCACAACCCCCCGCCCCCTCCCTCGGCAGAGAACCCAGGCATCCGTGCTTTGCTGGGTGGGGGGCGCTTTGGGACAGAAGCCCCAGCTAGGGTCAGAGGGTGCCTGGGAGGTTGGTGGCTCCCAGGGACCAATGGCAGGGTAGGGAGATGCCAGGGGGTTTGAGGGTTCCAGGGGTGGGGTTATTTTGGGGAGGGTGTGGGGAGGAAGGGTGTTGAGAGAACCCAAGGAGCAGTAATACAGGGTTTAGGAGGATGCTGGGGCATCCATACCTGAGACATCTTGGTCAGTGCTGCGTTCATCTCCTGGTACGTGACTGGCGGAGCCTGGCGAACCTCGGCATAGTACCTGGTGGGGAGGGCATAAGAGAACCCAGGTGTCTGGGCTCCCAGCCCCCCTTCCCACAGAAAGCCCTGGCTCCAGTCTCCCCTCCCAAACTCCCTGCCCTTTTACAGCGGGGGTGGAACCCAGGCAATCCTGGCCCTCAGGCCCCCCACCACACTCAGGCATCTTCACAGGGGACCCAGGTCTCTGGGGGCACTCACCTGTCCACGAGCTCTCGATACCGTGGAATCTCACGGGCATAGAGCAGCTTGTTCACAGGGGAGTCCTGGTAGGGGGAGGGTGTAAAGGGGGGAAGGATACCTGGGTGACTGGGAGGCATGTCCCAGACGTCTGGGTTTCTCCTATAGGACAGAGATCAGGTCTGGACACCTAGGGCCCTGTTGTGGGGTGGGGGGCGCTGTGGGGCAGGAGCCAGGCCCAGACAGTAGGGGAGGGGGTTGGAGGCATGTCCTGGATGCCTAGGTCCCTCCTTTGTGGCAGGGGTCAGTCTCGGATG